GCGTGCAATTTGAATTAAATTATAAAATGATAAATTTTAACTGCGACAAGTTGGAGTGTTGTGTAGATGATACAACCATGTCGATACCATTACATAACAATGACAGATTTTATAAAGAATCAAATAAAGGAAATGAACCTGTATTAAATCAGCCAAATGAAGTAACATTTGGTTGGAATGACTCAAGTACAAAATTATTTTTAAGACAACAGAATATCTATCAGACACGGCCACAGCCACAGCTCAGCTCCATCGACTGTTGTTGCAAGCAAATGCAAAGCATCGGAGTACGCTTCCGTATCGTTGCTCTTGGTCTCACAATGGGTCACCTGTTTGAATCGAATTTAATTATTTGTCCGATTGTATCTTCACGTGGCTTAAATGAGCGAGAAACTACCATGTAGCGAATGAATATAACTCTCTGCGACGATGAAAGAGAGAAAGTCGGTCTTGCTGCGAGCGCCACTATGGCACCGACCATCTGCAGAATGTTCGTCTTTCCGAGAGACTTCTGCAGAGTGAGCGCAATTCTGTTCAACGACCCGTCGTCCTAAGAAAGCAATATGTCAGAAATCAATCGTACTTTTGTTAAGCGAACTATCTTTGTACCTCTGGTGGAAGAGACGTCTGAGAACAATCAGAGCACGAGCACGTTGACTGGCATTTGAAGACTTCACTTGCTGCAAAATTCTGAAAAGAAGCGTGGTAACTGATTGATATCTTAAGAATTTTGCAATTCGACAAAATGATAACGTCAACTACCTCTCGAGACCTTCTTCGGGGTGACAAATGACCAATGACCTAGAACATTGTAAAACCTCGTAATGCCTAAGAAGTACATCGCGTGACGCTTCAAAAGGAAATATACTGACGAATCCAGGTAAAGTTTCTCTACATGGGAGACTTTTACTACATCGCCCTCAATGGGATACAGGTATACGACAATTACGAGAATGAAATCAAGTTAACTACCGATAGTATGTTCAAATCATTCTCGATTACATGTATATTACAAGTTAATAAATCAACATCAAAAAACATGTCCACACTTAGAGATAAAATTAGAAGCAATCGCGAAATATTATTTGCAATTAGAATTTACCTTATCTGCTAATGTCTGCTGTGATAGCGTCTTAATTCCAATTAATTCGCATCAGATATAACTGCGTTCTCCGAGAGCGTTAACATAATAGAAGGCATAGACCACGACATTCGCACACCGGACAAACTTATCGATGGAATTAACAATACCAAAGACGGTCGTCACTCCTGGCTGATTCCGATACTCCCTGGACAAGTGAGTAGAAATAAATCAAATTTCACATAAAATAAAGTCACAGTTGAACCACTCCCGAGTTAACTGTCTCCGTTACATTGCCTTTCAGACGAATCGTGTGTATCTAATATTTTATCAGCCTATTACGGTATCAATGATCAAGATATGGAATTACGGAAAGACTCTGCAGAGAAGAGTTAAAGAATTTGCAGTAAGAGAAACGAATTAGCGATAACAATCTTTGTTACAATTTCCTCGACTTGTATCACTTGTTTGGTCTCGACGAAAATATCTTTAATTTGCAGATATTGGTGGAAGATCTGTTAGTTTATAATGGAACATTAGATAAACATAATTCGTACGGCCTGGTAACGTTCGTGAAGGAAAGTGGTAACAATGAAAACGTGGTAAATCGGTAAGTTGCGCCGATGGGTTCTAATATAATTGCGAGTCTGTTGAAATATCAAAAGAATGATTTTACATGCGATATATTATGGGATTATGGCTCAGAGCAAGAGAATCAAGTCTTGAATTTGCGAAGAAATACCTCAGGCACTAATTCGTTGCCGGATCCATCTCTTCGTCCACATACATCCTTACAATTTAAGGAAACGTAACTATATGTACATGGTATAACGTATATAATAAAACTGTGCGCACGTTTTATATCTGCTAAAACTTTTTCACCTTCGTGATTCATCATCCTGAATAATTATATAATAACGTATTATATACATTTCAAAATGTACAATAATTTCTATATATCATACGTTATTTTAATAATTAATATACAAATTTCGTGTAAAAATTCCATTTAATTTTCGCGTGTGTGTGTGTGTGTGTGTATGTATACTACATGCGTATATATTAATGTATATATTATATGTATAAAAAGTACAAAAATTATATACAAATGTACAAAAAGTATATACATATGTACAAAAATTATTATAATAGAAACGATAGGGATGTCCGGTATCGAAAATCTTAAGAACATTATGGTTAAAGCATTTTCTTGTTAAGTACTACGTGCCTTATACAGTATCCGGCATAATAGCTTCAACATTTATTCAAGCCCAGTGATCATGAAATTTTTCAATCGCGCGCAATAAATTTATATGTTCATGCATCATGATGTTGAGTATTCCAAGCGGCAGCATTATCTCGAGATAGTTTTGACAGTGACAGCTTTCAATATATAAAATAATATACATTCTTGTGTTTATTTAGAGTCAAATGAAGGAGAAGAAAGATAAATTACGATGGGTGAAGAAAATTTTAGCGGAGGACAATGATATTGACCCTGCATTATTAATTCCACAAAAGGAACAAGTCCCAGAATCAGCAGGGAAAATCTTCTCAGATACCGAGACTCGAAAGTCCGGAAAGGTTACTAGGCCTAATAATAAATGTCAAAACTATTGTGCCGAGTGTTTACAACCTGTTGGAAAAGTTACAATGACACGAATCGTATGAAATATTTGATTTCCTGGTGTGCACAGTTGCAGGTCTCATTCTGCAGAAGTTATTCGTGGTTTTTTCGGATATATCTCTGTAGGAACAGCTGCTCGATTTGCCTCTTCTCGAGATCCGCTGCGTTTCCTTGCCTTTGGTGATATTTGTTTTAAACATTCCATATCGTTAAATACCACTTGTGCTCCGCCACCACTTGTTGGCAATATGTCACCCTGTGTGAAGAGAAATGGAAAACAATTTATGACGCTTCTCGATTGTTACTATAAAAATTATATAATGTGTGTGTGTGTGTATACATATATGTATCTTGTAACATATTTTACTATCAAACCTTGTATAATTTGGTTTCAAGTTCCCCGTCTGTATCTTGCTCTTGCGCGACAAGACAATATTTGGATGCGCCGTCAATTTCTTTCGGAGAAGTAAGTCGCGTTACGCTTCGTCTTTTCTTCATCAATGGCTGCAATACGGTGCCGAGTGGTACGAGTGCTCCAGGTCGATGATCAACCCACCTATCCGCACTTCGCGATCGTCTGTAGCGCGGATTCGAAACGGGTATGTTGTCCTGCATGCATACAAGAAAAAGCTCTCGTTATTATCTTCACTTTCCTTAACTTATATAATATGACTTCAGTTTACGATACTTCAGAAAAAAATATAATTGAACGATAAATAACCTTCCGCGACTTTCGAATCTCGGTATCTGAGAAGACTTTCCCTGCTGATTCTGGGACTTGTTCCTTTTGTGGAATTAACAATGCAGGGCCAATATCATTGTTGTCCGCTAAAATTTTCTTCACCCGTCGTAATTTATCTTCCTTCTCCTTCATTTGACTCTAAATAAGCACAAGAATGTATATTAATCTTTCAAGGCGCTGAAACTACAAATGAATTTTAAATACAGAGTCAGAATAATTACTTGAAGGCGTTCACGCTGTTGACGCAGTTTTATTTCCAATTCTTTGTTCATCTTATCCGTTTCAGCTTGCATTTTAGTGTTATATTTTTGTTTTACTCTTTGCTTCTCCATCAAACGTTGATTCAATGCCAAATCGCGTTCTTTTATCTAACAATCATCGTATAACAAATATCATATATCATACAATAAGTATCATATATCAAACATCATATATTTGGGTAGTTAAATATAAGCACAATTAACTTACTTCTTGCTGTAAACTTCGTATCGTATCATTAGCACCGCTTAATTTACACAGCAGAGTGTCGATTTGTGTTTCCGCTTCACAGAGATGTCCTTCTAATGTAGCTATCTAAAAATGTTTAATATGCAAAAATAATCAGCATGTGTATTTTTATTTTCTTCGCGATATTATTAAAAAGATTTCCTTAATAGATAGATAAAAATTTACCTTCATTTTCTGTTGTGAATTTGCAGCTTTCAGTGAAGCAGCTTCAATCTTTAAGTTTATATTCTCTTGCTCTACCGCCACCAACATTTTTCTAAAATCGTTTTCTGTAGATGAAATTAATATACATATTAGCATCTTATTTTGAAACAATTGGAAAATTTATTCCTGTGAAACTAAGTATCTCACGTTTTCTCATTAAATCTGCACGAAGTACATTGCGCTTATTAATACGTTGCTCCAGAAATTGTATCAAAGTAGGTATTACTTGATCATTATCCGGAGTAATGGTTTCCAATTCAGGGAATGGTCCGCCCAAACTGAAATATAATTAAATATTTCATCGCATAATATACGATAAATTATCGAATTTCGAGAAATAAAAACAAGATTTCTTAAAATCACAGCTCTACCTAAGTTATAACATACCTGTACACTAAACCTAAGTCAACTTTTAGATCAGCGGCTTCCGCTCGACCCTCTTTCTCCAATTTGCTTCTCGCTTCCTTGAATATCTGGGAAGAGAAAAATTTATGTCACTTTCTCTTCTCTCAGAAGAAATTGCCAAGAAAAATCAATCACAGCTACTTAACATTGATACCTTATTTGCTTGTCTCCTGCCAGGAGTAAAACCAAGTTCCAATTTTGGAGCAGTAGGTCTTATAGTTTGCACTTCTTGGGTCATTTCCGCAAATTTCATAACTTGCTACAGACATATTAGAGGAATTAATATTGATAGTTGCATCTCTTTTTTATAGAAAGATTTAAAATTTTCTTACGTACAATTGTCTCATCATAGTCGTCTGCCCTCGGATTTACACAAACTATCATTCTTACTTGTCCCTCGCCGTCGAAGTAGTTTTTAAACAAGTGAGTAAGCTTAGAATCACGATAAGGTACCATCTTATTTGTACCTTGACTCTGATTCTCTCGCAAAATTTCCAGACATGAGCGTAGAGTCATTAGAGAGTTATTGATATTGCCTGAAAACGATTTGATGCTCGTATACGCAAATGCTTTCATAAATTTCACAGATACGGCAGATAAAACGTCGTACCTGCTTCGCGCAAACGTTGACCGGTGTTCTTAGTGCGATTCGTTCGCTCACTACCTGCTAAATCAACTAGAGATAATTGACTTATGCACACGACTCGCTTATCCTGCATTACACGTTCACCTTCGCAATCTAGGGGTGCCTGAAACATAAATGTAATTGCTCGTAAAAGACCTCTCTATCAAAGTTTGCCGCTCGGAATCAGTGTTAAACTGTAGATCCAATATTTAAGACCAAAAGAAATTCAAAGGATCGGTACCTGTACAAGTCGAATGGTAAAAACGCTGTGTGATCTGCTTGATTCTGCATTTAATGCTGTGTGAGCCACCCGTCTTTTCCGTTGTCCACGTTGAAATACATCGAAGGCTTCCTCCGCACTCTTCACTTCTATTTCGGTGACTGCATGTACATACATATTTTTGTTGCCATCTTCCCTGACTATTTTATTCTGCAGTGCTCTGCATTGAAAGAGATAATTTAATATACAAAATACTTATCTTGTTAAAAAATTTCTCTATAATGTACACTCACTTGGATCTAATGTCATCTTCATCCAACAGGTCGTACACGCTATTATTGTAGATTTCAACGTATGTAACAAACACAGAATATGCATTATCTGGATCGATCGTCACAATTTGTGATTCATTACGTTCGTGAGCTACTAATGGATTACTATCTTCATCACTGTCCACCTTACGACTGTGAATGTTATGAATAAATTATTATATAATCATATACAACCTTCTTATTATAAGAGATATTTATCTGCTTTTACATATTAAATATAAACTTACTATTTTACAGACTTTCCACCTCTTTGTGTGAGACCTGCATGAAGCTCTTGCTGCCTCTCGAGCATAGCATCAACTTCACTTTGCACATCAAAGCCATTTAACTTATCTGGCTTAAAGACAAATTTTTTTGTCTGATAATTTGCAATAGTATTAAAAATAACATCTAAGCATCTAGGCATGATTCCACCATCTTGTGGTTCTCCAGTCATTGTGTATGTTTTTCCACTGCCAGTTACACCATATGTGAATAAAAGACCGTTCCTTCCCTGAACAAGATTTTCAATAAGAGGAAGAGCAACCATCTTGAATATTTCCTTTTGTGTTACATCAGGTATGAATATATGACTGAATGTTGTTTGTATTTCCTTGTTCATGGTCCTAAAATTAGTTGCTGATTCTGGCGGCGTTATGACTACTGTTGTGCTGGATGTAGGCTTCATGCATGACACATCTGACGACTGCATTGGCCGTAGACGACAATAAACCTGCACAGGATCCTTGGACAACATATTGGACCCTTTCGGTCGATTGACTGGCTTACGTGCTGGTGTTTTTGAACGTCTAAAATGTATAAATGAAAAATGTATTTATTTCGCAATGCAACGGTGCACATTTGTACCGAATTTTTACATTTCGTAAAATACAGGAAAATATTCAAGGTCAAAGATTCAAAATATTCAAGGGTATATTCAATATCGTCGGTTGTTGATCGGCATCCCGCTCAAATAAATAAAACTAATTTTTATAATACTTACGCGGACTTCATTTTGATGCAAATCCAATTACTTTTCTATCAAACAAATTCGTGCCAGCGGAAATACTTCTCAAATTATAATGACTTATAACACCAATCGCCCTCGGCAGAAAGTCAGTCGAAAGTCTTTCGAATCAAAACTCCATTTGCATTTTCAGCGCTACCAACCTCGTCAACGTAAAATAAAGCTCGCGACACACGGTGCCCGTTTTCTTGCTGGATCGACGTTTAGTTCGAAAGTCTCCGTTATGAGCCGCCACTGTCTTAGTGCAGGTTTGAGGTCGTGGGATACAATGTCAAATAGTTCAAGTAGAATTTTCGCATTTCCCCTACTTTACAACTAGTAAGTTGTCAATAGTTCTTAACCAATCATGATAAAGCAATGTTTGTTCTTTTTGTCCTAATTGAGCAATTAAGTGTTCTTTTTCCTGTCTAGTAGGGTTGGCAGTTCAGAAATATCAGGAAAAAGTTTTTAGAGATTACGAAATCTTCCTAGGCAAAATAAAATTCCGTTTCCGAACGTGCAGTGACGCCACCATTCGGCCTGTCTCTTAGCAAGCTAACCTCCTTTGATATCGACACCCACTCGAGTGTTTCGATATTGCCAGAGCTATCATTTCTGCAAGCAATCAGAAATCGTTGTTGATTAATTCGTGAAAAATGGTCTCGAGAGCGACATCGAGGAGGATCCCGGAAGCGGAGCCGCGTATAGATTACGTACAATGCGATGGACTGGTGGTGATGAAAATGGTGAAACATTGCCACGAGGAATCTTCCAGCAACATGGAAGTTGCTCAGGGCGCTCTTCTAGGCTTGGTCGTGCAGAACCGCTTGGAAATTACGAACTGTTTCCCATTTCCTAAAAATGACGAGATTATGGATGAAGAGGAGTATCAGCTTGCCATGATGCGAAGATTGAGATGGTGAGTATCCTCGAAGAAATTAAGAAAAAAAATGTTAATAATTGGCTCACAAATCAAAAATATCGTTGTTTTATCTGTTAATTGTTAATCCAAAGGGTAAACGTCGACCACTTTCATGTCGGTTGGTATCAAAGTGCAGATGTTGGAAACTTCTTGAATTTGTCTTTGTTGGAGTCACAGTATCACTATCAAACTTCTATTGAAGAATCTGTTGTGCTTATATACGATACAGCAAAATCTGCCAGAGGTTTCTTGACTCTCAAAGCATACCGACTTACTCCGCAAGCCATACAGATGTATAAAGAGAACGAGTTTACTCCCGAAGCTCTGCGCACCTTGAAGATTGGATATGAGAGTCTCTTTGTTGAAATTCCAGTAGTTATCAAGAACAGTAACTTGACGAATATCATGATGTCGGAGTTGGATGAGATGATACCTGAGGAGCAGGGTACTAAGTATTTGGATCTTGGAACAGCTACTGTGTTAGAGAACCAGTTGAGGTGTTTGATGGATCGAGTGGATGAATTGAATCAGGAAGCTATGAAGTTCAATAGATATCAACAGTTGGTGATTCGGCAACAACAAGATAAGAACAGGCTTTTGGCCAAGAGGGCTCAAGAGAACGCTGTCAGAGCTGCAAAGGACGAACCACTATTACCAGAAGATGATATTAACAAACAGATGAGGCCTTTGCCAGTCCCGCCAAGATTAAACCCGATGATTGTCGCTGGACAAATTAACACTTATAGTGAGCACATCTCGCAGTTCTGTGCTCAAAGCTTAGCAAAATTGTATATTACTCAAAGTCTACAAAATGCAAAGGAGGCAAAGTCTTCCCATTAAGAAACTTAAAGTACTTATATGTACATCTGAAGAGCCAATTTAAAGGATTAAATGAAAGAGATATGATTTTCCAACATGGGTCTTTGTTTATTGTATCTCTCTTGATCTTGGTATCATTAGTTAAAACATATATATTAGAATATAGAATTTTTTTCAAATAAATATTCTTTATTTAAATCCAACAGTTAATTAAGTTACCACGTCCACAAGTTAATCTTTAAAAGCTATTTACATCCGTCGTTATCTCATTAAATTGTTCGGAGCATCTAGTTGCCAAACTTTTGGCAAAATGTCTCCACATCTTCCCTCCACTCTTAAGTTTATCATTTCATCGGCTCTAGTTTTGCCAATATTTATTATCGCTATTGGTTTTTTGGCGTCGATTGCCTGCAATACAATTCTGTATGCAGAAAATGTACTAAGACTTGTGCCCAGGATTAACAGAGCATCCAGACTCTCCACGTTAGTTTTCACATTCTGCACTATGTCACGTGGTACGTTATCTCCAAAAAATACAATATCTGGCTTCAAGATACCTCCACAGTTACCACAAGCTGGAACATTAAAGTCTTCTACTTGTTCCTGTATATGTATCGAATGTATTGTGTTACAAATATAGATATTACAGAGATATACATGTATATACTGTACATAATACCTGTGATAATTCCACATCTCCATCAGGTCTTATTATCTGAGTAGTTGCAATCATAGATGGATTAAGTTCCTGGAAAACCTCTTGAAGTTTGTATCTACATATCTTGTGATCGCAATTAAGACACTTTACCTTGAACGCTGTACCATGTAACTCTATTATCTTTTTACTTCCTGCCTTTGAATGTAAATTGTCTACATTTTGTGTAACGATACATCCTATGTTCTTAACGTATTCTAAATCTTTCAGTATTAAATGTGTAATATTTGGCTTGAGAGACGAAAATCTGCAAAAATATAGTTGCTAAGAAAGTCGAATCTATTAAATTTCTACTCATTCCTCTAAACGTAAAGATTTAAAGCACAAGCAAATAAACCTTGGCCAACCAACAAAATTCCTAGCCCAGTATCGTCTTCTGATTCTTTCGCTGTCACAAAACTCTTTATAGAGGACGGGTCTACGATCGCTACGTGCGTAAAGCCCGACTTCTGCCGATCTATAATCAGGAATACCACTTTCCGTGGATATTCCTGCTCCGGTTAATACGCACAATCGATGATGTTTGTTAATAAATTCCTTCAATCTCATCAGATCCTCTGTTCTTACTGGGCCACATTTTGGAACAAAGGCAAGACTTGATTTAAACAAGTGCGCTACGAAGAATAACAATGACTTAATACACTTCCCTTATCTTATAGTGTAGTTTGATTGTTATGTGGAATTTAAAAAGCAAATTTATCTTTATTCAATGTTTATTCGACATAACCAAACGTTACACTCACTACACAACCTCATTGGCGAAACAGTGCGTGTAAGAATATCTCGCATTGTAATAAGTAAATTGCGTAGGTCTAATGGTCTACAAACTTTTGATTTATTCCATTATAAATATTAAGCGTGCTTCCTTGTTCTTAAATCCTACAATTCACTAAAATGCGGGTCAGTCGACAGGTTAAATGACTCCATTTAACACCGTTCGAGGTCACCACGAGCGAACTGCGAATGTTACTGGACGATTCACGCGAAACATTTAATTCCACGAAATTTAAATGTATACGGAAACAAATATCCGCGGAACACGCTACGTAAAATCAGTCGCACCGCATGGTGACACGGTTGAAAAAAATCCGGTAATCAATGGAGAGAATTATCTAGAGATAAAAAAGCCGCTGGCTTGAATGTCGCCAAATTCATTATTAAACGTATGATTGGTCGGTCGGATTGCAAATTCTCCAGATAGGTGAATCGGGACCAGCCAATCGGTCGTCCGGTCCAAAGGAATCGCAATATGGCGTCACGTGCGTTCGGCGCGCGATTGGTCGGCTCTCTCCGTGCCTACGCTCTCTGCACTGCGAGTCCGTGTCGGACATACACAATTGGTTGTTTAATCCTTATCGACGACATCGCCTCTTACATGTCGTCCATTTGTTTCTTTCGCGCTCCAGGAACTCGTGCTGCAAAGCTGCATCTCCTTATCCTAATCTCCTCGGCAGAGAAACGCACGCTGCGTCGAGGTAATCGCGGTGGCAACGAGAAACAGCAGCAGGAAGTGGGGACCGTGCGCCATTTTCTATTTTTACATAGCCAGCGCGAGCGACAGCCAAGTGCCGTGCGTGTGTGTACGAGTTTTTTTAGTTGTGCGTGCGATACAGATCGATGGACTGACGACGATCGGCAGCGAGGGAATAACCGCCACGGACCGTGACTGATATGATTGTTTTTTGGTGACACATGCCGGGAAAGTCGTGTGATCACGTACTCGTCGAACCGTCAAATTTGTACCCGTTCGTCCAGCTTCGCGTGTAAACTCTCAATACCTCGTAAACACCCTCTCTTTCTCTCTCTCTCTCTCTCTGCATTTCTCTTTTCCCTTCTCTCTCTCTCTCTCTCATTCTCTCACTCGCCCCTTACTCTCTCTTCCTCCCTTCTTCCCTCCGTCTCTTTCTTTTATATCTCCTCTCTTCCCTCCTTCTCTATCTTTCTTTGCGTTCAACACTCCGTCAAAACGAGCGAGAGAATTCGTACTGCTCCGTTGAGGCTTCGTCGATTGCTGGCCGTGTCGTCAAGACTTATAGAAAGGGAAAAAACCAGTCTGTGATATTAAACAGTACTAAGCAATATATACATATATACATACATACATACATACATATATACATATACACACACACACACACACACATATATAGCTAGGCGTGTGTTTCTCTGTGCGTGTGTAAGTCGAATAAGTGAGCGAGTGAGCTTAGCCAGCGGTCGCGCGCGCGCTCTCTCTGTCTCTCTCTTTCCCCCTCTCTCTCTTTCTCTCTCTCTTTCTCTCTCTCTCGTGTGGTGTTCAGTGTTCTTGTGTGGGTGTGTATGTGCGTGCATCGCTGCCCCGTGTATAGCGAATACGGGATAGATCGCATAAAGGATCTAAGAGGATCTAAAAAATCCGAGAGCGGACAACGGGATCAAGGTCCGCAGGACGCGCTTATCCTTTCGAAGGGTGAAATAAGATCGACGTAACCACCAGCAGCAGCAGCTACGACACGATGTCTTTGGAGCCTGTGACAAGTGACAAGCAGCCGCCGTCGTCGACTACGGCGACGACGACGTCAACGTCGTCGACGACAACGACGACGGCGATGTCGACGACCACGGCAACTACGGCAGCCACGACCACGATCACGATGACGACGGCAACCACGAATACAGCAACTACGACTGCGGCGACAACGACGGCAGCGGCGACGACGACGACGACGACGACAATGAAAAAGAAGAAGAGCGAGGGTATGTTCGATTAATTGGGTTGTCTTTCGTATTCCTTTCAATAACGCCACACTCGCCGTTTCTTTTTATTTCCCAAACGACGCTGTAACAAGCGGGTGACAAACTGTGTCTCCTCCACGAGATCTCGATTCTCGTCGGGATAACCTCCTCGTGCGACTCACCATGTCTTGTTTCCACCCTCGGCGAGAATAGATTCGTTTCTTCCTATTAGCCGTGTTACGACACATATTTTCTGCAGTCCTAACGAGATAACTTGTTTACTATCGGCCATCGAGGGGAAGAAGGAACGGAAATTGAAAGAGAGCGCAGAAGGCACAGGCTAAAACGGACAGATCCGGTGTATATTTCGCCTCTAGTCGGCAGGGACTCATCGGTGAGGAAACGCAAACTTTGCTTGTCAGCTGTCAGTTGCAGTATTCCCACAACAGCATTGGTTGACAGCATATCTCGTTGGGTTACTTGAGGAGCGCTCGAATAGGCCTTTAAAACTCTCTGTAACATTCTGTGCAATCAGAACCTCCTTCTTCCCATCAGGAGAAATCAATTGATCCGTTCTCTTTAGCTGAACTGGCTGCACTAGTTCAAGAAATATATGCACACTGAAGCGTAAAAATCTCGTACATACACTTTAATGTATATGTAAATTTCTTGAACTAGTGCAGAGCCAGTTCAGCTAAAAAAAAACAGATCAAATAGGTGTGTTCTCTTTCACTGAGCTGGCTGCACTAACTTCTACTAGTTCTCTTCTTTCTTTCCACTAAGTCTTAATTGTATATCTGTTTCTTTTTAAGCTCTATAAGTGTACGCTTTTCAGCAGAAAGAACAAATCTACTATAAATCAGGACTGGCTGTTGTTTTATGGAGCAATTACAATATCCAGAAGATTATCTTATAAGAGAGAAAGAATTTTGAAACTTTGTTTAATATTCTGCGCAGTCGAGACTACCAAGGGGATACAACATAAATCAGGTGGTTGGTTGTTATTTGTGTTTGCAGTTACAGTAGGTTTATTCTTTTTCACTGTAGTGGCTACGCTAAGAACCAGTTTCGCAACCTTCAATTAACCGACCGGTTAAGTGTCAACCATGATTGGTTATTTCTGGTCAATTGCGCTAACGACAAGTACGATTGGTCAATTTTAATGGAACAATCCAGCGGATTGAGTTAACTGAAGGTTGTGAAACTAGCCCTAACTTATATCAATTTTCTTCTCCTCTTTCTTTCTTTATTAAATCTTAAATATCATATATACTGTCTTCTTTAAGTTTTATAAGTGTACGTTAACTCAGCGAAAAAGAACGGACCTAATGCCTGGAAGATTCTCTAGAAAGATAAGGATCAGTTATATATTTAAAATGTTCCGATAGCCAATCAAATATCTGTTTGTCTAAGACCTTCTCAAGTAGGCTTTGATTGGTTTGCCGGTTTCTCTCATTCGATATCTCGTCCGACAATAGTTTGAATTTGTCAGTTTACACTGTACCTCCTTACCCAACTGTTACGTTCCTACAGTACCATTGTGTGAGTGACATACAGTGGACATTCAGAGAGAGATAGATAGATAAAAAGGGAAAGAGAGTCGTTATTCCTACAGCGTCGTGTATTTAAAAAGTCGGACCACCGTTCAACATTTCTCCTTTTTACGAAGAGGCACGGAAGAAAAAAAGAGAGAGCTTGTCTTCGAGTTTGCCGGCTGCTTCGAAGGACGAGAGAGGAGCACAAACGAGTCTCCTCAGGATCGCTTCTCGAGGGGCCAATCGGACAGAGAAGCAATTGATTATTCAGATCCGCCGGTGTTTTATTGTCGAGTCTTATTAAAAGGGAAAAAGCTTTTAACGAATTTTTCTTTTGGGAGAGAGGATCTCTTTTCTAATTGACTCACGGATTGAAGAATATCCGTGAACGAACCTTACCAAACGGAAATTCGTTGTCCGTTTGCCCTTTATCTGTTTGTTTACATTCGCACTGAGAAAGAGAAAGAGAGAGAAAGACGGTCGTGCAGAGGAAACAGCGTGACGGTTAGCGATCGAAAGAGACAGAAGGAGAGAGAGAGAGAGAGAGAGAGAGAGAGAGAGAGAAAGGCGACCGAAAGGCAGCACAGAAAAGAGGTTCTCGTGTCGTCTCCGTGTCGTTGCGCGAGCGCGCGCGCGTCGTCGTTTCTCGCCAAAAATATGAAACTCGAAACCACCAAATGCATTATCGGCTCGAACTGGTATCGGCGACCTCGGAAGCGTCCGTTGGTCGGGCCGACCGGGTCTCCGTTCTTAGACGCGACCCTAGTCACGCAGACCAGGTCTTGCCGGTGGTACCGGAAAAACAGATCGGTCAATCCTCTGAAACGTGTGACCTTCCGTAAGTATGACCTTCCCGTCGGACTTCCCCGACGACGTGTCGGTGGAGTCGGTTGACTCGAAATCGCAGTTCGAGGCTCGCACGATTACGTTCACGAGGTGTTAAATCGCGGCGCGTTCCCGCCCCTGAACGTCAACTCGATCGAGTTGGATCCCCCCTCCCTCCCTCCTTCCTTCCCCGACGGGTATTCGCACGTCGAGCACGATTCGTCTTTTCGGTTGATGTTGTACCTCATTTGATTTTCTTTTGCGTTTTGCAGGTGATGAGGCGATCATATCGATGTCGGTAGCCGGCGAGGTGACTGACGCTTCGATCATGGAAATAGGCCGTTCCAGACCTCAATTTCAATACTCTCGGGTAAATGTCGCTCTTATAAATATTATTGGGATCGCGCGATCGCGGTGTACACACTTACTCGCGACTCTCCGCTGGCGTACCGTTGTTATTTACATCGTGTGCTCTTGTGTGTCCAGGAGGAGCTGATGCTGATAAAAAATCTGCGACTATCCAAACGTAGGCCTGCATTTTTAGACACCGCTTACAACAAGTACGTTACACACACGCAACGAACGGATTTGATTACTTCTTTCTTTCGTATCGTCGAGATACGTCGCGATGTTCTCTCAGCTAAATAAATAAATAAACTTGTGCTAATCGACATGATCGACGCGCAGCTCGCGAGGCGTCTGGGATCCCGAACGCTGGCACTCGGACAGAAAGCGCAGTGATACACCCCCGAAAGAGGAGAAGACTGGACGTGGTGATCAAATCACTGAGAATCATAGTAAGCGACGTAGTAATGGCGATCCACGGGACCGAATACGCAAGGAGCAGGACGGCATCGTACTGAGCCCGCAACGAAGGAGCTTCAACTCAGGCTGTTTCGTCAACGTGAACCAGCCGTCGAATCGCCGCCCCGAGAGCCCGATCGGGAAAACGGAGGTAAAATGCGCCCGTCCGGCGATCGATTCGCCCTACCGAGAGTCCCTCGACTCACGGGGAAACGCTCGTCCGGTATTTACCTCCGTTTGCACTTTTTTGCGCCTTGTTTACAAACAGAAACGCGCACATATACATATACGCAATGTCACGCGAGATCGTGCAAAGACCTTGGCGGAATGGCTGACTTGACGGTTTGAGAGAATGTTTTATGCCTCGAGTCTTTCGTATTCTGTATTCTGAACTCTCTTTTATCGATAAAAGTGTCTTAAATGTGGCTTCTTAGCCAATCGGTGGTTTCTGAGCCACTTTTATCGATAGAAGAGTTTAGAATACCGGGCCTCTGTCTTTAAGTAATGCACAATGACTGTCTCGTGTCTCGAATCTTAAACTGAAACGCCCGTTTGTGCGATTAATGACAAGCCGTTGTATAATAAAGAAATAAGTAAGCAGAGATAACTTAGACAAAGATTTTGAAGGGCATGCGATACTGTCTCGAAATGACAAGTCAACCATGCTCTGTCGAGGCGAGAAAAAGAGGAGGAACGCTCTTCGCAGGTCAGCCATCGAGAACCCGTTCGTCGGATCGGCAGCGGGCGGATTCTGGCACGGGACATCTGGGACTTCAGGCCGGAGAACGAGAAGATCGAGCCGGAGCGCGCGGATTACGGTTTCAGATCGGGCACCGGCGGCGGCTCTCTGCGCGACCGTGACAATCGGGATAATCGCGATGGCAAAGAGCGGGAGAACATTATGCGGGAGCGGGATCGCGATCGGGACAACATACGCGAGCGAGACGAGAGGTTCGAGCGACGGTCGTTCGGCCGGGATTACGGGGAGCGCGACCGCGGAGGTACGGAGCGAAACGAGCGGAACCACCAGGGCCAAGAACGCGACAAAGATCGCGGGCGCGAGAAGAGATTCGGCAACGACCGACGACGGACTTACAGTGACACTCGCGACTCGGACGAGCCCGAGTGGTTCAGCTCCGGGCCCACGTCGCAGCACGACACGATCGAGCTGAGGGGCTTCGAGGACATCCCGGAGGAGAAGGTGGTAAACAGCGGCGGCGGCGGCAGCGTGAAGAACAAGAAGCAGACCCTCGCGCAGAAGAAACGGGCGAAGAAGAACGCGACGGAGAAGGACGACAAGCCGAGCGAGAACAGCAGCTCCGGCCCGAAGGGACGCAGCACCCCGACAACCATGGATCAGTCGATGAACGCGGTACCGGCGCCGCATTCCCCGATCACCGAACAGGTCGAACAGTCGTCGTCAGTCGCGCAGAAAGAGAACGACGCCAACGAGAGCACCGTGAACGAACCGATGTCCGAGGCGGCGACGGTCGTGACCTCCGCCGCCAATCAGAATAAGGAGGACTCGCATCCCGATTTCAACCTGGACGAGTTCCTGAAGTCAGACACGTTCCCCGGTGTATCGGGATTGTTAACGGTGAGCGCCTCGCTCCTTTTCTTCCTCATGTCGATTACTTTAAAGCCAGCGTATCATCCGTCACGGATCTGCTTTCTTCGCTTGTTTCAAATTCGACTCGCGAGCGAACTTCTCTGTTTCTTCTGTTTCGCAGAACGGAGTCGGCTCGAACGGCGGCACCTGTTCCCGCTTCAGTCAGTGGTTCAAGAGGGAGAGCCCGGTTCAGCAGGCGGACAGTCGTAGAGCTTCCATACATGACGAGTTACTGAACAATCTACTGAACGACATCACCGAGCCAAATATTCAGATACCGTCGGTCACGGAATCGAACGCCTACTTCACCCCAATTTCCCCGGCCAATACGACTAACAACAGCAACGCTGCCGCCACCGGTGTCAAGTTACTCGAGATGCTGCATCGCGGCAATAAGCCGAATCAAAACGGTCAAGGAGATGCGGTGAACACGATGGCACCCCTGGTGAAAAATTGCACCATTAAAGATTTGGGTAAGACCGCCGACCAGGGTAGCGTCAGGTTTAGACAGGGGGAGAGGGAGGAGGAGGACGGATCGTACGAGCATGAAGAATGTCGATTTCTTTTAGAAGTTGGTGGAAAAGTTGTGCACAGTTTGGAAGAATTAGAAGCACGCATGCGGGGCGGCGCACCTCCACCCACAACCTCGACTGAAACGCCCCGCGTAAATAAGACTGAGGAAGATCTCTCTGCTTTTAAGAAACTGGTACGGTCGGTGTATTTCCGTGATTTCGCTTCCGTCGAAATTCCCCGTGATTCTTATTCTCGAGATCGTTTCCATTTTGATCCTCGTACTAACGATTCCATACGAATGATTCAGCTTGCTCAAGTAACCGGAGGACAAGCTGTACCAGCAGCTAACGGACCTATCCCGCAAAAGCAACCTGTGACATTGATGCAGGTGCGAATACCTCTTTTTTTATTATTTCATACAGCACACGAACAACGCGCACGATCTCACATTTGTCATATGTATTCTTTTCTCTCTCTTTCTCTCTCTTCCTCTTTAGCTACTTAATTCTCAACTGAAGACTCAACCACCGATGCCGCACCCGCAGCCTCCGGCGGCTGCGGAACCCATTCATCCTTCAACGTTCAATCACGTCGGTCCCCTTGGCCACACTCAACATTCGCACCAGGCCCAGATGCAACATGAGAATTTGATCAAAGTCTTGCAAATACAAGTAAGATATGTTTATACACGCGTATTCAGTATAATTAATACATCTCCTGAGATCTCGTGAGCGACACGTACACGTGTTAACAGCAACAACAGCAGCAGCAACAACAGCAGCAGCAGCAACAACAACAACAGAAACAACGACACAACGATATGCTGTCGATGATGATGGGCGGTCAACGAATACTGGGTGTGAGTCCTGTGCCGGCGGACATGCAGATGATGTTGAACAATATCCCTTCGAGTCAAGAGCTCCTGCAACGGCCGGAGGCTCAAGCGATTATTCAGGGTCTGCAGCAAGGAGAGATCACCAGGCAACATCTCATACAGCAGTTGCAGGTGAGTTGAATGTATGATTGAAACATTCCCCGGACAACCATTATGGGATATCTCGAAGAAGCTCGCGTTTCCTTTTTTTTTTTTTTTCGTGCAATTAATCGCGTCACGCATCGTTAGAACCCCGTTATGCAGCATCGCCATCGAGAAGTGCTGGTGAATATACTGAAGATGTACGGTGGTACCACACCACGCACCGCGAGTCCGCACCCACCGCACCCCGCTGCTCCCACACCGCAGGATCACATGCTGCAACAGATGCTGTATCAGCAGCAGCAGCAACAGCAGAGAATCCCGTCTCCCATGAACAACGGTAAGTCGTCGTGCGCAAGCGCGCGTCTCTTGAAAATAATTCCCTTTAAACGACAATTACAAAATCGAAAGCTGGAAGTTTTGCCCAAACTGAATGATCTTGTATCGTGTTTGGAATGCAGCTTATTGCCCACCTCCAATAATATCACCAAATTTGGCAGCTAGTCCTAGTACTTTAACAGTACAGCACCCAGGTAATGTAGTAAATACAGTTCATCATACTGTTATTTTTTCGTTGTTACTTTCCACGTAGAAATGTAATTCTAGTTGTAAAGAAATCTATATAATATATAAATATAAAATTATTTGAAGTAGAAGAACACGAAGGGAAAAGTAGATGGCATGCGTTGCATCGTAATATCTTTCATCATAAGTCGTCCCGACGTAGACCGTGTCCCTTAGGAGTAGTCTTAATAAAATTAAGGAAAGTATTCGAACGAATTCTAATGTGTAAAATTGTATTATTATGATAACAGTGATACCGCATAGAGTGCCGTCGCCACGGGAGATCGTTATGCACACTCAATCTATAATACAAAATGTTTTAATCAAGAAAAAATTGGAGGAGCAGCGCGAGAATTACCGCAAGCGGCAGGACCAACAGCAACAACAACAGCAGCAGCAGCAACAGCAAATTCAGCAACGCTCGTCGAGTCCCGTTAACTCGCCAGCTAAGCAAACAATGAGTCCGACTCCGCTTGCTTTCACGCCGACATCCGTTTTACGGAAAATGACCGCTGATAAGGAACCTGACGGTGCGAATCGATTATATCAATTAGAAACCACTTCCATTCTCGCTGCACACGATGGAAACATTAACCATTCTCGCATGTCTCAGGGTCGCTTAATCGCACCTCCCGCCAATTCATCCAAATGTCCAAATTCCGTCGATCAAGTGCAAAATGAAACTCTCAAAATGATTTTCTTTCAATCCGCCATTACCAATCGCACGAACAGCGACAATAACAACAACAACAATACCGCTGCCGATCCGGAGGAATCGGCTCTAAAGACCAAGTACTTGTGTCCGTTAGAGCAGAAACAAGACACGGACGATAATTCGAACATTGTTGAAACGAAGGAGGAGGTCATCCTCGATGTTAACGCGAACGGAAATGATGACGTAAAAGTGGCACATTCTAGCGTAGCGGCCGACGATAACGATACTAATAATAACAGTCTTATCTCACTCGATGAGTTGCTAAAATCATTATCCGAGCAGGGAACGTCCGCATCATTAGACGAAATAGAAAATCCATTAGAAGCAGATAATGTGGATTCGCAGAACACTACTCCGCCCGAAATCCACGAAAATGTTTAATCGCGCCGGATATATTCCGTGGAGAAGTCTCATTGTCAAGTTTCAGAGTGCACATTGATATCTCATAAAATAATAATTCTTTCGCACAGAGCCAAAAAATTCTTTTTCTTTCTATTATGTTTGCATTATAATACGAAGGGTAGTAAATTTTGTTTTTTGCTTGATGTCTTGAGTGTAAATGCTTGGAAATTTATGTCTCTGATGTCTGACAGATGTTTAGAAATACATTTTCATTTTATATACGGAGACAAAAATTCAAGCACTTTATGAAACACACACATACACACTCTTCATTTCTTAATATAGATTTATTACACTCTAATAGCATGTTGGAATAGTTTTTTTTTTACAATAAAAAGCCTTATCAATCCATCTTACACGCTTCAACTTTTCTTTTACACACATTCACACATTTTCTCCTGTTATTACATTTCTCTCATGCACGAATACACACGTATTCCTTTTATTCATGTCATACTTGCTTGATCTCTCTCTGCTTTTTAAAGTTACATACGATTACGAAATAAACTTCTAATACATACAATCAGCAAGTATTTATCATTGCTTATAGAATCATTATAATGTTTGAAATGTATTTCCTATGAGATATAATTCCAAGTAATCTTTTTAATAGAAAGATATTTACATAATATATTGTTAATGTAAATAACATTTAATTGATAGATTTACAAGTCTAGTTTTATACGTTAAATAGAATCGGGCATAGGACGGTGTTTTTATTTCTGTAAAAGATATTTGATATATCTACATGATCGAGTGTGTCATTAGCAATAAAATTTTGATATCGCGAAGAAGCCGTCAATGACTTTTTAATACTTTTAATCAACATCAACTTTTTCCCTAGATCCACATAATTAAGATGAAATTATTTTGTATCTAAATACAGGAAGCAGCAATGATCCATCAAAATTGTCTACGCAAACTCAGGCTTCTCAGATGCAACAAATGCAATCTGCAGTTCAGTTACTTACACAGGGGGTCCTCCCGAGACACACCACCATGCGGCCGCAATCTGCTCAATCGACATGGTCGAATCCATCGCTCAAGCAACATCCAGGTACGCTTCATCCAATTTTCCACAAGGATGTATCTCTCGAACTCCTTTTTTGCCTTGCAAAATTCTACCGGAGGGATAAAATATCGGTCATTAGTCGGTCTTGCTAGTTTTGGAACTGAGAGCATCGTCGTCGGGGCAATAATCTTATGGAAAATTCGCAACAATTTCAGGACGACCTATAGTGAAAGGCGGGAAAAGCACTAACGCAAACAGCACCCAGTTCCAGTACACGGGAAATGCGGAATTCCAGCCGCAGCCGCAGCAGCATAGAACGGCCTCGAATGTGTATGGCAATCCGGCACGATCCAAACACACGATGGCCACTTCCTTGCCGCATCACAACGTCTCGCAATATAACGTACCGCAGACCTCGATGATGAACCAGAGGTCAAATTCCATAAATACCCAAATGAAGGCCCAACAGCAAGTTTCGTCGCATCTCGCCGGCATGCAACCGCAGCCGCCGCACGGAGCCGCTAGCATGCAGCAACAACCGCCGCAGCGGCCCGCTGTGAACACGCAACTTGCAACAAAGATGCAACTTGTCGTGAACCAAAACTACAATTCCAATCGCACAGGTAACGCGACTCGAAGATTCGACAGGTTCACAAATTATCCAACAGTTTCATGTGATGCTTCCACAAGTATCTAACAGCTTCGCACCGATTATCTGACTGTTTCTAACTAAACTAAAAATCCTCGCCATTACTTCGTGAGGAGCGATATATACAGGGTGTCCGACGCAAGTCGTCCCATAACTTCCGTCGCGTACTTTAGACCGAAGAAGTTCTGTACCATTTTGCAAACAACCAAGCAAGATTTTGAGTTATTAATTACTGAAAATGGCACAGAGGCTTCTTTAATTAATAACTCAACAACAATTTGTGTGGTTACTTGCAAAATGGTAGAGGGCTTTTCTGTTCGCATTGACCTAAATTAGTGGTGCTATGACGGATTGTGGACGGCTTGCTTGTCAGATACCCTGTATATTCGCCGGAATTATATTCTCTCTCTTTTTTCATTGCCTTACATTGATTTTCAGGTGTTTGTCGTCTGCTAAATCGAATTGCATGCAACGGTGTTGAGAAATCGGAATAAGTAGCAAGCCTCTATTGTTAGTCCCCTCTCCCCCCCTCCCTCTCCCTCGTTTAACCCTGTCTTGACATCATTTGTGTTCGGATTAAACTAAGTAAACAATCATCATACGTGTACAGATACGATTATTACGTTAAAAGATACCTCACGATTGGAATGTTAGAGAACAATGAATGGATTTGTTATCGACAAATTCTCTCTTTCTATACCGCATGAGATTTTAAGAAATCGTATTTTCCGCGTGTTGTACATCTTTTATATAAATAATTCTCCCGCTATATCGCTGATAATTGATCTTCACAGATGGACGAGCGATGCGGTCGCAGCAATTGAACCTTGCTGTCGGCCGCCAGTCCTCACCGGGTCTCGGATTTGTGGGTAGCAACGGCGGTGACCTCTCACCGACGTCGAATCAACTTGCGCGATGGTTCAGCCCGGAACTTCTCGCTCAAGCACGGGCCGGCAAGCTACCTGAACTCGGGCAGACGAACGTCCTGTCGTTGGAAGAGCTCGAGAGACTTCAACACGCGTCGACCATAGTGCACAACTAAAAGTGATTGCCACTGACACTTTCGGATGTTACAATTTCTCGTTAGCGATCGGAAATCGAACCCGACGAGACTGTGTGACGCTACTCTGCCAGCCGAACAAACCAATATGTTTCCTCCCGTGTTACGTCTCCTTCGTACCACCCTCGCAGCACCGGTACGACGTCCTCTCATTCATTGCCGGATGCTGAAAATGTGCGCCGCTAAATTGCAGGATGGTGCTGTCGCCTATAGTAGATTTTTTTAAGTCTTCGTATCAAGACAAGGTTCACCGAGGTAATGCCATATTTTGATTAAGGAGCCGGTCAATTGTTGGTTCGGGAGGTGGGGGTGTTCTTTTGAGGGATCTCGGTCGAGGGGAAAGTCGCTGAAGTGTCGCGTTCGTCGAAAAGCACTCCAGTTCCGAGTTTCGCGGGATGTTCTTTAGAAACTACAAATGTACAGGATAGTGTGTAACGTTGAAGGGCGGCGTGTCGTATAATTAAGGAAGGAGTGGACAGCTTTCTACGAAAAAAAAAACGATATATTGCTTATAAGACTGAAAAATGTGAAAATTCTTATTGTTGATTATGACAAGCTGTTACCTTGATATGCGTACTTTCTAAATGACAACACGATAAAGTCTATTTGCCTAAGATAGGACTGCAAGTTTCTTGTGTATTCGCGTATTTTCTCTCTCCATTGTACTCTACGAGATTCTGAGAATTCTCCGACGACCTGTATGATTTTCGTATTGTTCATTCGCGAATGCGTATCGATCTCGCGAAGTTTCTCGTTACTCTGGACAATTGCGTATGTCAGAATGAGAACGTACTGTTGCGATTATCTTTCAGTTATTTGCGAATATATTGGATATCGTTTCGCGATTATGTTCCTTTGAATCCGGGGTAAGGGGAAGAGCAGAGCGCAACTTTCGCCGCTGTCTCGGCGAACGTAAAAAAAATATAGTCTATGTACTAAGTATGTCTAATGCAAGCTCATCGTTGCCGCCAACGGAAATAAGACTTAGATAGTCGGATACGCGCGTTTAATCTAGTATTATTTATAGAATATTGTCGCTTGCTTGTTTACCAGTGGGACTTGCAAAATCCCTTAGGCAAATAATAATAATAATAATAATAATACGCAGTTTCCCAGAAGAAGTTATGAATCACAGCAGTCAGCACCCGATTACAATTATTCACACAGAGAGCGGAAGCGTATGCATGTGCGTGTGTGTGTGTGCGTGTGTGTGTGTGTGTCATATTTAATATTCTATTCATATTGCAAAATGATGCGACTTTATTAACGTGAAGGAACAAAAGAGAAATGCGCGCGAAATAAAACGAGATAAAGGTGACTCGTCACAAGTCATGCGCGCGCACGCGCGTATATTATAAAAATAAATATATAATATATACTTCGTAGAGAGAGAGAGAGAGAGAGAGAGAGAGAGAGAGAGAGAGAGATTTGCGGTATCATTATTACAATCGAAAGTGATAGATAGACCGAAATGTCTAATTAAAAAAAAAAAAAAAATAACCTCGGAAGGTATGTAGAAGAATCGTTCGCAGAATTAATTTAAAAAATTGAAGGAGAACATTCCACCAGCTGATAGAAAGAGAAAGTCAAACCTAACGAGGTATATTCGCGAACTTGCAAGATCAATCGATGTCAATACTGTTGCCAACATGTGTTTGCTTTCAATTGAATTACTTACCTTGAGATTGCTATATGATTAAAGAGAAACGGAAAGAAATAAAAGAAAGCAAGGAAGAATATCGGGCCTATTTTACATAAAACCGTAATATTATTCAAAAGTTTATTTTGCTCGTTTTTTTTCTTCTGAAAGGATAGCATTGTTAACTATTCTTTACTGTGTGTGTATATTATAGAGTCTCATCATGCGCGTATAATTGCATTTTTCTTCTTAACATAACTTAAGCATGCGTTCATTCGTATCTTCAAGAAATGCATCTTTCGAAGACAAGATATATTTTTTTTTTTCCCAAACAGCAGGACAACCACACTTATAAGTACGTTTATCTTGTATCGCGAAAGAATAGTATTTATCTATATTTCTTTTATATATTAATTACACATGACATACGAACGAGTTACATAATCTAATTTATGAATATTAGTTACATTCGTATTTTTTACTTTATTGCATATGATACCTTTTTTTTTTTATAACGACATATAATTGTACGAGGAGCACGAGATAAATCCACGAGATAGAAAACACGTTTAAAAGAATCCACGTTGGAAAAAAGGGCATAAAATTAAATTTTACAAATTTGATTTCGCCCGCTGCGATTGCGAATTTATTTTAGCGCGTGTAACTTAGGAAAGTGTCATAGCAGCGCTACGGGTATAGTTTTGACGAGGACGTACGGTGAAAATTTCTTAAGTGTACAAAGCATGGCCATTGTTTGCGACAGTGTTACGTTCGGTCCGTGTTCATTCCGTCCAACGATGCTCCGATCAGTCGACTCGACGATGTATGCTCGACTGTCGGGATGAACACGTATCGTCATTTCTTAGACGCTTGTTACTCGATGTATTAAAAATTTTCTCAGCGCGATATCTTGCAATGAGAAAGTTTTATATGCCTTCAAGGTCATATTTATAATATTCACATGTGCGTCTAACGTTTTATTAGCATATATCAACTGGCATGTATGATGTTGACAAAATGTTAGAGGGAGAGTCGGACGGTCTCGAAGTGTCCGCTCGCATGTCGAGGAAGATTACGAAATATGACGAGCATGAGGAAATTGCGCGTTAAACCGATCGCGACGACGCATTCACGACAATTCCCAACTGTAGCACATGACGAAGAATCGCGTGGAAAGCATGAAAAATGCAAGACGGTGTTATGGGACTCTAACGGTGCGTTAGAACCGGTGCGTGTATAGTACTTTGTTGCGTCGACAGAAGATCGCGGGGAACATGTTGCAAACAATACGGTATATACTGTACGTTGAAACACGCGTGAAACGCAGAAAGAAAGAAAAAAGGGGTGAGAGAAAGAGAGAGATAGATCTCGTTTTTTTCCTTTTTTTTTCCATAACATTTTCGTTACTCGACGTACTTCGGCGATCGTAGGTGCGATTGTTAAAGTTGTATCTCCGACCGATCACCGTCACCTATAAGCTTATCTCAAGCGTCCATAAGTGTACAAAGAGTGTATTAGACGAAGAGTAAAAGGAATTCAAGTCATTCAACCGTGGATCTTAATGCGAGTACTACCGGAATCATTTTCCGTTTCGAAAACGCGGATCGCGGATTGTTTGTATCATACGGAAGATGTTCTACGGAGTGTCACACGTCACACCGACGTTACACATGAAACGCAAAAAGGAGGCGTGTGGTATCGAGCATATATCCTCAAACGGGGAAGATTCGTTTTGTCCCGTAAAAATCCAAGTTCCTTTACAGAGGAACTACACACTGGAAAATGAGCCGACGCGAACAGTTTCTTCCTTCATATTAACAAGAATCTCAATATGAAATCTAGAGAGTGACTTTTGGCACTAGAAAATTCATCCGGGGGTAAAAAAATGTTCGCCGGAGCACTGTGTACCCCACGTTTCCTTCCGCCGGGGGATCAAGCGTGACGTTCATGGTCTTCCGGTAGTAGCTATTCTCTTTTTCGAACGTTGCAGCCGAATCAAGGGATCGCTGCGTGCCTCTGAAAACGTACTGCATTTATAATTAGCTCGATTTCCGAGGACGACAGAGTTCACTCACATTATGTTTGATGATGACGGCGAATGTGAAAGGTAACCGTGCGTGGGAATTGTTGCCAAGATACGAAAGACTTTCTTTTTGGATCTTTCTCGAGGGTGCAGTACCATGGTGATTATACCTTCAGTTTTGTTCAAATGGAAGATGTTGCGGAGAAGGACGAAACGCTGTCCTGCATGTATCTGCGAACCTGACGGTCGTTCCATGATCCGAAGACACATTTTTGTAAATAAACTGATTCCCAAGCAAACTAAAGTACGTTTAGCCTATGCACTGGGTCGATGATTTGTAAATAAAATTACTGAATATTATATCTCATGTGAAACTGAGCGCATAAACTATCACGAATATCCCACACAACACTGCGTGTCTCTAAAAGACGTCTCAAAGACGTTTCTTAGAGACGTCCTATTGTTGACGGTTGACAGTTTAAAGACAGTTTTAGGACGTCTTAAAACGTTTTAATGTTATTTGGGATAAGAAATTATAATTTTTTTCCGCCTCATACACAGTATAAATCTCCAGTGGATGTCCTGAAGATGTCCAAAGGACGTCCTTATGTCCCAAGACTTCCATCGAATAAAGTGCGCTGTATGAGATATTACTTCATTCTTTTCGCTGATACAACTGCTTTCGGATCACTTATTTAAAAGTTTCAGCAAAATTTACAAAAAACAATGTTATTAGAAAATATATTGATATTATCTGTAACTGGAATCCAAAATCCTAAAATCTTTCTCTAAATTCCTTTTTTGAACTTAATATAACATTTTTTACGTTTATTTATTTCCAAATAGAGACAGAAGTTAATTTGATTCATTGTTTGATTGTACAAAACAAAAATAAAAGCAATTTTTCGGTAGAATCGGCATAAAAACACTTTTTTCGATGAATTTTGTAACGTTTTCAGTATTCAACAAGAGAATTCGTTTATTTAGTAATTCTCAAGAGATACATTTTCCTATTGGATACAAAGTGCAAAATTATCGATATTTGTAACTTCTTTTTTCGACAATTTTGCTCATCCCTAGTAACGAGTAACGTGAAAAGACAAAATAAAGACTGAACTTGTATGTGTGAACGACACACATATATATATATATATTTGTAAGAGATTATAAAATATAAATTAGATTGTAAGGAAAGTAACGTCATATTTTTAGCTCGAGATTGAAGCAAATTTATACACATTTAAAAACATATATGTATTTAAAAACAGCTTCAATCGTTAATGTGACAGCCTTTATTTTCTATAACCTTTTGCCATCTTATAGGCAGTTGCATAATTCCTTGCGCGTAGTACTCGGGCGTTTTTTCAGCAAAGAACTGCTGAAGGTGTTCTTTGCAGTCCTCCAAAGAAGCAAACGCTTTATCATTGAGGAAGTTCTGCAAGGACCGGAATAAGTAGTAATTCGAAGGAGCAACATCTGGTGAATATATTGGATGCGGTAAAACATCCCAGCCAAGTTGCAATATTTTTTTCTGAGTGATCAAACAAATATGAGGCTTGGCGTTGTCCTGATGGAATAAAACACCCTTCCTATTGATCAATTCCGGGCGTTTTTCTGCAATAGCTTCCTTCAGTTTATCCAATTGAGCACAGTACTTGTTTGAATTAAGCTGTACATTCTTTGGAAGGAGCTCATAATATATCACACCCTTCCAGTCCCACCAAATACACAGCTTGGCTTTCTGCGGATGAAGCTCAGCCTTTGGGGCGGTCGACAGCTTTATTGAACATTTTCCCTGGGACTGTTTGCGCACTGCATTGTTGTAGATAATCCATGTTTCATCACCCGTCACGATTCGTTTTAAAAATGGACTGTTTGTGTTGCGTTTAAGCAACGAATCGCAGATGGAAATGCGATCGACTAAATTTTCTTCAGGCAGATCATGCGGCACCCAGAGATCAAAGCGATTCACATATCCCAGCTCTTGCAAATACTCGATGACAGTTGTATGTGATAAGTGGAGTATCTCTGCAATCTCCTGCGTCGTGTACCGTTGATTATTCTCGATTAGAGTCTTGATTTGGTTGTCATCAGCAATAACCGGTGGTACAGAGCGCTCATCCTCATCCTCGAGTGTCGTATCACCAGCACGAAACTTCTTAAACCATTTCTGACACATGCGTTCTGTTACAGCATCATTCCCATACGTGGCACATATTTTCTTCTTCGCTTGCGTCGCGCTTTTCCCCTTACGGAAGAAAAACAGCATCAAAGAAGGAAAGTACTGCTTGTCTAGTTGCTCCATTTTTCTCCCGATCTCAAGCGAATACAAACGCTTTTACCGGTAGGTTCCACTTAACGCTTGCAACGACGCTAGTAGCGTCACGTTCTATCTTCATTTAATTAAATGGAAACCGCCTCACATATGCTCTCCATACACTAAATGATGCTTAAAGGCGTCAGTTATCAGAATAGTCCTGCACTCACTCCATCTAGAGTGAAATTTCTTTCTAGTAAAACACACTAGTCATCTGTTGGGAAAATATGACATTACTATCCAATCCGATAATATAAACAATAAAACTATTGGTCTGTTTTCTTTAACTGAATTGGCTGCGCTAGTTGAAGAAATTGATGCAAACATTGAAGCGTATGTACGAGATACAGATACGGCTCATTTAATTGGCTAAGAAGTATCTGAAGATGAATTTAAGGCAGCCTTAAATATAAGGTCCGATTACGAATACCAGCATTAGTTTTCGAAGGCCGCGTTCGTTCGATAAAATTAAATATTTCGTGTCGAGTGCACGGAGCCAATCAGGGTGAGGGAAAGAAATCACATGAGATGCGCTTCGGATGTGCGGGCCAGCGGGCGACACGGTTGTATTTTCGCTCTTAGATCGCAATTACAACGGAATTTTCACTCAGAACGAATCAACAAGTTAAGTCTCGACGCAAGTAGCGTCGGGGAAACTGATCGATGCGATGCCGATGAACAGCTCCGTACAGTTAGCTACCCTATCGACTGCACCTTTCATTGAAGTGCACTTCTCTACACATCGCCATCACGACGGCCGTGTCAGGTGAAGATGGCGGAGAATGGTGGTCGAGGCGCGGCTGGGCCGCTCCGATATGTCTCTTTCTACCTGGGTGAACCTCTCCGTATCCCACTTTCTCGAGTTCCCGCCGATGCCGAGCTCGCGCGCCGAGTAATCAACGAATCTTCCTTCCGAAATGTTCGACGTGTCGCGAATGCGTGCAACGTGATCGTTTCGCAGTGCTGTGCGGGAGTTGCGAAAGAACGAACGGATGGATGAGCGAACGGAGGAGAAAGAGAGCGAGAGCGGAGATTTCGCGCTTCCTCGAAGCGACGTGATTTGACGATCGACTGTCGTTGATCACCCACGAAATCGATATTGTCAGACTCCGAGACTTCGCCAGCTAATTTGAACTTGTTCGGCGAGATGGGGCACGTTCCACGCGTACAGAAAAGAGAGAGATAGATAGATTGGCTTGCAGAACGTCGGGATCAGATCGCTATCGATTTCTCATTAAACCGCTTCCTCGGCTCTCCCACCGCCTTTTCTCATTCCGTTCGTGCGTTCCTCGTTCTCCGTCCGGAGAGTACGACAAATGCCGCGTGCGATCATGCTGCACAGCAGAGAGCGCGTCGTAAAGGAACACCGCCTCGAGGCTCTCACACGCCTCCATGTTGCAGATGACGATACACGTCTCGAACAACGAGCAACGCTCGGAACGTGTACACTGAACGAGCTTCTAGACGATCACTCTGCGAAGTCTGACACCCTGCCAGCTCTTTCACCGTCGGAATCTCCGTATTCCTACCGTCGCACATTCCACGTTTATCCTCTCTAGGTAAAGTCCCACGTTGTGCATTCCTCTCCTCCGGTCCTCATCTCGACTTGGCTCTACCGAATGACCGCTTTCTTCATCAACACAACACATGCGATTTCTTGAAATATAGATAGAGCCAAATCAGGCACTTGCGAAGTACCGTGAGAAACTTGCATTCCAATGGTAAGAGGGAGAGGGAAGAGGGGGGGGGGGGGAGAGAAGTATAAAGTCGAGGATCGATCG